TGCTCTTTCAAGCTGTGATGAAATTTTTGTCTAGACTTGTCTAGATCAAAATTTTAGTTATAAGGTTTAAAGGTCCATTCGGGCTGGACTAGATTTCAAGTCCTCCCATTTTGATCCAGTCCTCGGCTTCGACTCGGACGTGATCAAATTGCGCGGACTTGAAATCTACTCCAGTCCTCATAGTCGGATTTCAAATATTACATAGAATTTTAGATTTATCGAGTTTCTCACTCAGTGGTGATCGGATTTCCAAACAGGCTACTGCCCAATTGATACGGGATCCGAGCTAGGTCTATCAAGATAGGATGGTCTGGAAACTGAACAGAAGTCATTGTATTATATGAGGGTCTTAATGGGGGTCTTTGGGTGTCAGTTGTCAGCTAAAATTTAAGCCAATTGTCAGTTGTCAGTGCCATATATTGCAAGCTGTCAGTAGTCAGTTACTGCAAAATGCTGACTTCTAATTTTTTTCATCATTTCTCAGTAGTCAGTTAGGATATTTTGTCAGTTGTCAGTCAAAAATTCAGGCAAATGTCAGTAGTCAGTTAACCCCATTCAGACCCTCTTATATTTTTGTCGGAGTTTATGTTAATTTGTGCACGGTCACGGTGATTGAGCTCATTGTATTTTCATATAATGAAGTAATCGTCCAATAGGGATAGCTGAGATGAAACGTACAACCAGGATGAATAATATTTAATGAAGTTGAGACAAAGGATTTGCGCAAGGTGAGGTATAGTTCAACATCAAACAAAGCTCTTTGCCTGGCTTCCAGACCATCGTATCTTGACAGTCTATGATCCGAGATACCTATACGAAGACGCGAGAAACGGCGAAAGCCTAACCATTTACTGATGCATGTCAATGTAAAGGTAGCACTTTCTCCTCAATTACTTTATCAATGATTGAACCTGCATGGTTTCCCAGTTTGAAAGACAAACGTGGTGAAATGCTGGTTGACATTTTTGGTCCAACATATAAGTAAGTACACTACGATCAACTTCCAGTAGTCGGCCTAATTCAGAGGTAAAGGTACGCACAGATTTTTGTGTATGTGTGTTCAGGGGTGCACCCCCAAATGTTTTCCACCAGCGCAGGTCCCCTCCTTACAGAATTTGCACCCCACGCACCCCCAAGACTTAGTTATTTTATTTTTATTTTAACAACTTTAATTTGGCACATAAAAACCCTGAATATTTACATAACTTAAACGGACAATTACATTGTACAAGAAGACGAGGAAAGTGCCAAAAGTGGCGAAACACAAACGAGACTATGTCCTATGTAAGGTGCTCACCACTAGACAACAAACAAAGACAAGAAACAAAGACAAGGAAGATTAAATGAAAAGACTAAGAGAATGAAAAGGCAGAAAGAATGAAAAGACAAAGAGAGAAATGTTAGATATTTTTATTGAGTCGTGATAAGTGAGTGTGAACTAGGTAAGTCGGGAGTGTAGGAAGTACTAATAAGGTGATGTAAGTCTTGCGCAAGTTAAAGGCTCATTGGATTAAACGACTGTGGTATGATTAAAATTAGGATTTTGAATTAAACAGGACTAAAAACCTCAACATTTTCCAGGGGGTTCGCCCTTCTAACTCTGCTGCAACTTGCTTGGCACCCTCCCCCCGTTAATGTTTATACTATTAATAATTAACTATAAAGCACACAACAAATTTATAAAACACACAACTATTCAAGCAAAAATTTATGCAACACACAACGATAAATTATGATCATTATTTTATTAACAACAACTTTAAAAATTCATTTGACATATTTATATATTTTACTCTAATTTGTTTAAATTATAAATTTCTACCTCAATTTAACGTTCAGGCAATGTCATTTGAGCGCGGTGCTGGACGATGAATCTTAAGATTCGCCTATTTTATTTCAAATTCGCGATGTTTCTAATGTATTTAATACTGTACAAAAATTGTCTTAATTTATTTGAATTAATAATGAATTGCGCGCGATTTGTGCATGTCAATTTTGAGCAAGAGTGCATTTTATATCTCAGAGATAGTAAAGAGATTAAGCATCTATATCAAGTTAATTAATTCTAATTAGATTAATTAACTCTAATTAATTAACTCTAATTAGAATGCTAGATAGCATCAGATGAATCAAAATACCGACAGACCTCTCTATTAAGCCGAGTTTCGAACCTTCGAGTACTAAAATTCTCGTCAGATGACACGTAACCAGCTAACACATGTTTCTCTTTGTAGCGATCTAATTCATGGACGTATATAATTTAAATGCTTTGTAACCTTTGTTCTATTCTATGCTTACGTTAATACTAGAACAGTGTAAACTACAATATGGGAGTTATCTGTGTTATAACTCACATGTCTAATCATCACTATGTAAACATAGAATAGAACAAAGAAGCGTTTAAAATATATGCCGGGTGTCCCCAAAAACTGGACACTGTTGATTGATTTCATGTAACGTAAAAGCTATAAAAGCTATCGCAATGAAATAAAGACCATTGCATTCAGAAAGGACGAACTTAGATTTTGATATATAACACTTGAATTTACATGCAATATTGACTGCGCTACTACTGTTTTTGAAAATGCCAAAAATTAGCATAAAACAAGCTTATAATTACCGATGTAGTTATACTTGTTAAATAATAAATATTTTTATTTTGGTTGTATCTCGCTCAATATTGCATGTAAATTCAAGTGTTATATATCAAAATCTAAGTTAGTCCTTTCTGAATGCAATGATCTCATTCATTGCGATAGCTTTTATAGCTTTTACGCTACACGAAATCAAACAGTGCCCAGTTTTTTTTGGGACACCGGTATGCGAGTGCACTGGATGGTAAGTGGTATAGACATTCGTTACCTGATTATGCCTATTGATATAAAATTCTCGCACACATAAAATGACTAATTGACTTACAGGTTTCACGATCATCTACTTTGCCTTCCTCTGTTGCTTTTTGACGTCTTCTAAAACCATTTTAGCAACTTTCCATGCCATTTCTTCCTTCGCCTATCAAGTTGGAAACACTTTAGTACCCTGAATCATTTTAACAACACACTGTATATTTCCACTATCTACCTTGTCAGAATCACCAGATACGAGTTTCTTCATTTTTTGCCCAAATTTCAGAGCTAAAACAAAGGAGAATTATTACTTGACAAAGCTGAGCTGTGGTTTGTAATTTTTCTTTCATCTTTTCAAACAGGACAGATGAACCCACAAACCTTCTTTTCCAGGCTGAGGTTCAATCCCAGGTTCATAAATACCAAATTCATTCACTCTTCCAATTGAAAGACTAAAAATGACACAAGATAATTATTGTTATCATTTTCTTTTCGTCCATCCATTATTCTTCTCTATCTCCCCCTCCTCTTTCCTTCCTCCCTCCTCTCCCCCCTTCCTCCCTTCTCTCCCCCCTTCTTTCCTACCTTCCTCCCTCCCTCCACCTTCCATCCTCCC